TAATATAATTTAACATTTATAAAATGTCATTCTTAAATAGTTTTTTACTAAAGAGTAAGCTTTATAAAACTTATTTTGTGTATAAAACATAAAAATACATACATACTGTACAAAGATGGATGTGCTGTATATCTATCAAATTAAAAATTCATTGCAGTAAGTTTTAGGGGAAAAAAATTCTAAAACAACTCCTGTTGTGGTGGGCGAGAAAGAAAAAAGTTAAAGGAACATGGAAATAAACTCAGATTCCTCAAATAACTAAGACCAGATTGATGGGCAGAATCTACCAAGAAAAAGGAAGAAAGAAAGAAAGAAAGAAATTACCTCTTAGATGTCTGTATGGATTTGTTTTTTGTCATTTTAGAAGGTAGAAAGTGCACTCCGATCATTGCATAATTAAAAAACAAAAGGAAATACAGTAAAACAAAAAATCCTCCCTTGTCCATTCGCCCTCCACCCATTATGCCTCCCTAGAGGCCACCAGCATGTCCTGCCCTTCCCTGTCCCTCTAGAGACAGTCTCTGTATTTCCCAGCATGCATCTCCCAGGGTGTGATCTAAGGGTGGCTGGTTTGAGTTATTGACCCTTGGTCCAGAAAAATGCACAGCACCAGTCTGGTGTAGGAAAAGAGACAAGCGCGGCACATGTGAGAAAAACAGATTTAGTGGGCAGAAACCTCCTCTGAGTCAGCTGTGAGACGCCTCTGGAAAAGCCCAGGCTGTTCTGGGCTGCATCTGTACACTGTTGGTGTCTGAGCAACAAGTGTAAGTGATGTCTCCGTGCTGGGCACTGGGCACAGCCGTGACCTGCCCCAGGGTGATCTGTCATAGACCCTCCTGGGGGACGAGGGAGGGACTGAATCATCTCTTGCTGCTCAGGACTGTCCAGACCCCTGGAATCCTGCCGCGTGCTGAATTAGAAAGGAAAGAGCTGAGAAGGCTTCAGGAGGACATAGAGGCTGTCTTCTAGAGGCTGTCTTCAAGTAGAGGACAGGTGGCTTTGTGAAAGACAGGTTTGTGTTCTTTCTGATACCAGAAAGCAGGACTGCTGCAGGTTGGCAGGGGATACAGGCTTATCCCATAGTGGAAGCAAAACCGTAGAATGATCAGACTTCCAAAATTGAGCGATAACTAGCTGCCGTATGCTGTGGAGAATGAAGTAGAGGTGAGTTCATGACTTAAGAAGACAGTTCTCAGATGGTGTTGGAGGTTCTAGCAGGGGAGTGCGGCTAGCATATACCCTTGACCCAGGAAACAGTCCTCCTCTTTCGGGGGTGGTCGTCCTCTTTTGCAGAGCATGCAGCCCCGGGAGGGACGCGCATGGAGCAGTGAGGGAGGAAGGGGCACCCGCCTAGCCAGCCAGACCAGCCACATCAACCCTGGCGATCAATGGGTGACAGATGTCGCAGCCATATTGCCCTCACATCCTGGGTTGGTCTCTGAACTCTAAAATTTCCTTTTAGCTCTTCAAATCTGACTTCAGAAACTTTCTGGGAAGCCATTATTTGTGCCAAATTCTATGGAATTGGTAAACAGAAGTTCGTGCTAAATCAAAAAGTTTTTTTCTTCAGGGTGGAAGATGGGTGTCAGAACCATGATTACACATAGGTAGACGTGAACCAGGGGCCTTTTCTTGTTGACTGCTGATTGGTGTATAATCTAAATCCTTGTTTTCTCCATGCTAGTTAGAAAATAGTTCCAAAGCAAACTCTGTTCACCTCAGTCTTAGTATTCTGAAATTCTGGAATAATAAGTACTTGAAAGATCAATAATCAATTATCTGGATACACATCTATTATCCTGAAAAGTTCTTCTTGCTCAGTTGTGCCTTTTGACAAAAATATATTGTGATACATGCTCGGATCACATTTTAGCCCAGGTATAGTATTGAGGATGTTCATTGACATCAGTTCAGGTATTTACATGAAACTTTTTTCTTAGGGACAAGTGATATTTTCTCTAATGTCTAAGAAAATATTTGGTTTGATAATATTGATTGTATTTAGGGCTAGAGATATAACTCAGTGGTGGAGGCCCTGGTTTCCACTCCAGAATCTGGAAGAAAATGTGATCATATTTAAATGCATGAACCATAGGATAGAAGACAGTGTGAGCCTTGGATCCAGGTATACCTTGGCTCCTCCTGCAGCCCTGCCAGGGTCCTGTGTGTGTACGCCAGTAATTTCTGCAGTCCTCTCTGTGCTCATGCTCTGCTATGCACCAAGGCCACCGCCATGAAGAAGGTTCACAAGTCCCAGCCTTGATGACATTTACAGTGTAGTAGGGTAACTGGATCCCTGGAAACTTCAGTTTCCTTTTGCTATAAAAAAATGACATAGTAATATCTGTTTCATGAGATTCTATGAGAGCTTTATTAAGGTAACGTGTGAAGTAATGACAAAATCTTAAGCCATTAGCACTAGATACTATTGCCCCTGGTGAGAAATGTTAGAGCACTCAAGCCATTGCGTGAGTATTCTGTTTTGCTGCTGTAAAATCCAGTTGTTAAAAAATTTTAGTGATATTATAGCCAAAATTTATTAAGCATCGAGTATGAGCCAGATATTGCTCTGAATGCATCCCATGTTTTAACTTAATCTTATGAAGTGTTTTTTTTTTTCTTTCCAGTTCTGGGAAATGAAGGCTTTGAGTTCCTACCCAGGAGACACTCAGTGCTGTGTGTGTGATAAAGCTGGAACTTGGGCTCTGGCAATACCTAGGGGTCAAATATTAAGGGGTCATATGTCAAGACAGTGTGATGTTAATTGATATCTTGTTTGTTATTTTTGGTCCAGAATACATACTTTAATACATAAGAACTTGGCACCACAGTGACTCTACAGAGTCGCATAAATAGTGGCTGTCAACTCCTAAAGTCCAAATAAGCCACTTCTCCTCATTTAAATATTCTCAGGCTTTAACGGGAACACAACTTGGGCAATCAGAACACAGTATTTCACCCCTCTGTCATCAGCATTTCATCTTAGGTGAAACAGATTCCTCTGAGAGCTGAGGCTTTGGGGGAGCACTTTCACAAATGATGCTAGCTGATGGACATCATATACAATTGGCAAGTGGAGAAAATATTACTTTAACAATCTGGGCTGATTACATCGTAACATAGAGCAGTTGGTACATTTGGATTTTTCATTAACACCTTACTTCAGAAAATTTAAATGTGGAACTGAAAACAAGGTGGGACCTTTATCACCAATCTGGGTTGAACCGCCCATTCATTAGACAAGGAAAGTGAGTTCAGGCAGTGGTTTTTCTATTCACTTAGCTTGACTTTTATTAAATACATAGATAAATGGAGCCCTGGAGTGAGATCATAGAATTATATGGCTTTCCTTGAAGTAAACTCTGGAAATTTCACCAAGATTCTGAAATATGCAAACTCCTATGTAGATAACTATTACTAACATGGTTTGTATTCGTACTTTTAAAAGTTAGGTAGAAGGTTTTTTTCCTGGGAGATTTAAAATTTTATGTTGTACATATTAGGTTGTCACATTCCCTGGCGGCGTTTAAAGTTTTGTGTGCTGATGTTTGACTGATACATAGGTCTAATATATCGCTTTGGCCTCCCCCGTCCTTCCTTCCTGTACAGAACGGGAGCTGCCTGGCATGGTGGTGTGGGTGACGGGGGCTTCAAGTGGCATTGGCGAGGAGCTGGCTTACCAGCTGAGCAAATTGGGAGTTTCTCTCGTGCTGTCAGCCAGAAGAGAGCATGAGCTGGAGAGAGTGAAAAGAAAATGCCTGGGTGAGTAGCCCTAAAACGGCAGCCCTGCTTCCTACAAATGAATCAGTATCCGAACTGAGGTGCAGCTGTGGGACTTTTAAAGCGCATTTTCCAGCTAGCACACCCTTGTAAGCCCTCAAGGGTCTTGACCTAGAGCCTCTCCTTTGTCCTTAAGTAGCTGCCCTTGCCCTCTCCTTTTCTCTGCCGTCTTTGTACTCCTTTTTTGTATTGACCCTTAACTACCAATTACCGGAAATACTGTTGGATTTTTAGTGACCAGGTAGCTTATATTTTTGCCTTAAAGAAGATCTTGGTTGTTATCCATGACGTATGTAACCACTTCAATTGAGCTAGGAAAGGTCCTTACTCATTTTACTAAAATGTCTGATACTAATGTTGAACGGGATGGTGTAAGAATTTTATTACACTGGATAAAAGACAGGGAACAAAATGTGGTTTAAAAAGTACAATCTGAGTAATTGGATGGGGTTGCAGATGCCGGTAAGCTAGTACACTGGGAGCCAGAGGCTGCGGGGTCACAAGTTTAATCCCTGCCTGGGAAAGTTAGCAATTTAACAAGACCCCGTCTCAAAATAGAAACTAAGTTCAGATTAAAACAAAACAAACCAGTTATAATTTCTCATAGGGCACTTAGTGTTTGTCTTAGTCACCTTCCTTGTTTCTGGGACAAAATACCCAACGGCCACAGCGAAGAGGAAAAGTGTATTTTACGTCACTGTTTCAGAAGTCTGAGTCCTTACATGGGCAGCAGCACAGTGACAGGGCCTGGGGGGCGGGGCCTGCTTATGTCACGGGGCCCAGTATAGAGAGTGAAGCAAGAAGGAGGGAGAGACAACTTCCAGATCACGGCCTCTGGTGACCCTGCTGCTCTGATCAGACCGCGCCTCCTAACAGCACCTCAGCAGCAATCTCACCACAATAACAGTCACGTTCCCAAAGCCCTGACGGTGGTCACGTGAGGCCTTCGGTGGACATTCTTGATCTAAACTATAACATTCCACCCTGGCCCCCAAAAGCCTCAAGGGAGTCTCTATATGGCGTACACCCTTAGAAGTCTCAGTCTTTGCGTGGTCAGCGGCTTGGTGAATGGCCCTGCATGGAGGAAAGTTGCTCAGGTCATGGCGGCCAGGGAGCAGCGAGCAAAGTGAGGAGCCAGGAGGGGAGATAAACCCTTCCAGATTACACCCGCAGTGAGCGGGCTCTTCTGACCAGACCAAACCTAACACATGTCAGCTCCATAACTCAGTCCATTCCATAATTCAGTCCCTTCCAAGAGCCCCGCCCATGAGCTCAGGAGGCCTCTGGAGGACAATCTTAATCTAAACCATACAATACTGAGATAACTTTGAAGTTCCCAGCACATCATGTGGTTTCCTTACCTTTCATTCTTTTTAAACTATTTTTTAAATGTGGCTCTTAATACTCTTTTTTTATGCAAAAAAGGTAAGCCAAAATTTCATAACAAAAGATAACAATCTGCAATGCATTAACTATTGTTATTCTGGTAAAATATTCTTTTTACTGTGCTGACGGAGCTAACCACTCAGTGAAGAGAGTGCATTGCCCCATGAAACTCAGCAAGACCTACTGCTTTCCTGACATTGTCTGCAAAGGCGTCTTGTGCTTGTGTGCTGCTCCATTCTTTATGGCAGCCGTTGCTCTGCTGCTGGACTCTCAGATCTTGCTTTGGCAGAGGACACAAACTTGGCAGCCTTGCTCAGCAGCGCAAGCCTAAGTGCTTTCCTTCTGTCTGTCGGGTCAGTGGTGCCAGCCTTTCCATTTCTTTTACTACTACAGGTGGCATTTCACTATTTTCTCTTTTGCCCTTATAATGCAGTTGTGTCTCATATTTACTATTTGTGCTTGTTTTTCTTATTGAGATTACTTGTGTTTCATGGTCAGAGTTCAAGAAAATTAGTTTTAATGTTTTTTTTTGAAAACTAGCAGTAGAAAGGGTCAATTACAGACCGATACGTTGTTTCTACGTACAAATTGTGGAACAGACTGTTCTTTTTCTTACTTTACTTCCTGGAGTCCCTGGCTAAGTAGAGAAACTTCTATGAGTGTGTGTTCTTTGACTACAGTATTCTGAGCTTCCTACTGATTTAAAGAATAAACTGTAATTTTTGTTTTTCCTTTTGGCAGTACTGGGGGATTGAATCCAGGGCTTCATGCATGGTAGGCAAGTGCTCTGTTGCTAAGCTGCATCTCAGCCCATAATGTGCAGGTTTTTAAGTGTGTAAAAGAGCAGCTAACTTTTGTGAACCTATTGCAAAACAAATGTAACCGGACCTCTTCAGAAATTACTGTACAATTTTTGCTTCATTTAGCTTACAGTGTAGTCCTGATTTCTAAGAGCCTGTTCTAATGTCCCACTATCTGTACTGAACTTGAAGCGAGCCATTATACTGCTGTGAAAGCTATCAGCTTTATGTTGACATTGTCGAAACCACTAGTCCTCGTCCTGTTCACCGAGAGAAACTATCACAGGGACACCCAAAGCAACTTTGTTACCAACTCCCCATGGAAGGTGGGGACCCTAGACTTCATGGGAGCAGCCAGGAGCTCGATGGAACCATGGCATGATAATCACAGTAATTTTTAAGTGTCTTTGTTTAGAGAATGGCAATGTAAAAGAAAAAGATATCCTCGTTCTGCCCCTGGATCTGATGGACAGAAGTTCTCATGAGGTGGCTACCAAAGCTGTTCTCCGGGAGTTCGGTAGAGTAAGTAGTGTTTGACAACAGTAGGACATTAATTGATTTCCTTTGCGTGGTTTTGAAGTAGCTGCACAGTAGCTTCCCATGCATGCTGGTCTCATTCAAAGAGCTTTCAGGAAATGGGGCCAGGCCTATGAGTGGGGTCCCTTCATCTCTGAATGTTTAGCTTTAGATAATTAGTACTTTTCAAATTTAACAGGTTCTACTAATTTCTTCATGTAAAAGAAAAGAAAGTAAAAATTCCCTGTTGCCCTTATTTTTATGACATTTGTCATTTTCTGTAAAGAATTCCTTAACATAGAAATTGTACAGGTGAATTCTGGTAGCTTTATCTTTTTATTTCAGACTTCTAAAAAACAAACCATTGGTTCATTTATTCTTGATGTTAACAACATAACAAACCATCCCTAGGAATTTCATCAATCCATATAGGACATCCCCAAAACACCTATTTTCTGATTTTACTTAACTAGATTGACATTTTGGTCAACAATGGAGGAAGATCCCAACGTTCTTTGCTCGTGGATACCAACATGGATGTCTTCAAGGAGCTAATAGAACTTAACTACCTAGGGACGGTGTCCTTGACGAAGTGTGTTCTGCCTCACATGATCGAGAGGAGGCAAGGCAAGATTGTGACTGTGAATAGCTTTATGGGGATTATTTCAGTGCCTCTTTCCAGTGGATATTGTGCCAGCAAACATGCTCTTCGGGTAAGGCAGCTTGAATTCAACTCTTAGAATTGATCTAAGTGTGTAGGGAGGAATGGCTGTCAATGAGCAAGGTTTTCATATCTCCAGATGCTGATGCTGTAAAGATAAGAAGTGCATAGTTACCGTCAGCATACCACTCCACACCCCACCCTTCTGAATCTTCTAAATCTTCTAAATCTTCCTGGTAAACTTGAGGTCCACTACTCCTCACTTGTGCGTACCTTTAAGATGTATTTTTTTTCTTCATTTATGTTACTTCTTTTCTTTTCCCTTTATCCCTGCTATTTATTTTACCTGTTCTAATTATATGTGCAGGTCACTGTTAGGTACTGTCTCCTGGACCTCTGCCTCATGTCCTTCCTGGGAAGAATATTAACTCTGTTCATTCTGGTTTCATTGAAAGAAGAAAATACAGTTAAGGAAGAGACTAGAAGAAAAGCTTGATTTAGGTTATGAGGCATAAGTATCAGAATCAAATGAATTTTCAACCTTGGTTTAAGAGTGGGTAGCAGGAGAATGATTAAAGGAGGCACAAATTTTATGTGTAGTATTGTTGAAGGTCAATTTTAGTCGAATATTTCACTATGGAAATAATGAGATGCTATCGCTGCAGCATCAGTGTTCGTGGAAACTGAATGTTTGTTCTTTCAGTAATCCCCTCTTAGAAGAGCAGACAGTTGTAGGGAATGCTGTAGCAGCTGCAATGCTGAGGATTCCCTGATACTGAGGAATGAATGGGCTGTCAGTGACTTCTAGCACAGCATTGGGAAAACCTCGGGCAGGCAGCTGAGGGTGGGCAGCCATTCCTCTGTTGGCACCAGTGTCTCACAGGACATCACGATGCTTCCAGGAAAGCACAGATGAACTGTCTGGCCTACCCTCGTAGACACCTTGTTTAATTCCTGGGCTCCATCTGCTGGACTCTGGCAGGTCAAGAGTCTAGTTAGTTATAGCAGTAGTTCACACTGAGACCCGGAGGCTCTGTTGGAGGAACACAGACCTTCTCAGATTTTCAGCAGCTTACAGTGTGCACTTGGTTATCACTGAGAAGTTTAAACACTTCACTAGAAGAGTTTCAACAAGGAGAGGCTGTAGTGTCTGATGTATTGGCTTAGAGGGAGTGCTGTCTTGCTACAGAAGGGCAAAACGTTAAAGGTACAGGAGTTCTCCATTCTTTTACTCAGCATTTTTTTTCAGTGCACTTATGAATCAGGAATCGTGTCAGATTCTGACAACAAAACCTCTTAGCTCCCGTGTTAGTAATGGGTCAGCCTTTGGTGGCCGGTCATATATTGAGTGCACCACTGATTAGCAGTTTAGACTTTTTTAGGTAGTTAACCTAGCCATATAACAGTGCAGTCTTGCAACATTTCCTGATTTAAAAAAAAGGATAAGGGGAAGTAAAGTTCTTGTTTATTCTCTGTTGCTTTAGAAATGATTTGTCTTTAAGTCTAGATGGACTAGCTTGTTTTTACAAATGTCATTAGTCAGCAATCACATTACATTTTAATGATCCACATGCTAGTCATCACCCCAAAAGACAATTGTTTTCTGAAAGAAATTCAGTCTATTGCAGTAGTAAAACAGATTTTATGTGTTGAAAACTTTCTCTGGGATAGAATTTGTGGAGTTCTAATCCTGCTTTTTTTCTCTTTGCCCCAAACATTAATGCTTTATGTTTATTTAATGTTTATTTGGGGAATAAACAGAAAATTCCCTCAGCAATCCCATGGAACACATACTCATAAGGATTTCAGTAGGAGGGTGTGTTAGAACTCTCCTGCTGAGTGCTTCCTATCCGTAAAATGGCAAGTCACTGTTGGCCAGAAGGACCAAGGGGATGCACTGCAAGAGCCGTGAATGTGCGTTCCAGATTGCCTCTGGTTTTTTATTTTTTTTTAATCTTTTTAAAATTTTTATTTTAAAGAGCATAGTAAATGAGAAACAAACAACAAAAAATAGAACAGTAGCAGCATACTAGTATCACAAACATAAATCAAAGCAAGAACATTTAAAGTGATAACAGGGTTTCAAGACAAAATAATATGAATTAACAGTGGTTGTTATATTACATGTTGCTATCCTCAGCTACTGTCGGATTATCTATCCATCCCTGTCCAGGGTAATCAGGTCCCCAGAACGAGGTGCCCACAGATGTATCAATCCCTTCCTCCTAAGAACAACTCCAGACCCATATATCTGAGCTCAGGGGGCTAGTCACCTTCCGGACTCAAGCCCCGACCGCCATCTCCAGGAACCTTTCATTCAGCGAGAACAAAGGAGGCAGCCCCGGAATTGGGGTGATCTCAACCCTTTTGCAAGGCCAATATAACTCCATTATCATAGGAATGAGACTTGACCAGCAAACCATCATGTTATCTTCCTTAGGGCATAGCTCAGAAAAGCATCTAGTGTTGTCCCCGGGCCAACAATGCTTTTGCTAGACTTCCTCCAGAACCCAACAACCAGGGCTTGGTCAGGCCTGAGGCAATACATCTAGAGAATGTCCTCTCCACAAACTAATTTACAGTTAAACTGTAACACATTTAAACACTGTAAACTAAATTTACAGGATTTACAGTTAAAATGCCTAAGAAGCTTGGATGGTGGCACTCCGTCCCTTCCTTGGGCCTTTTAGAGTATATTTTGATAAATCATGGGATATGTGTCAGTAGCTGTATTTGCCTCTTGCCTTTGCTTTTCTTTTTTGACATTCGATTTTGTGCCCTGTTAGGGTTTTTTTAACAGCCTCCGAACTGAACTTGTCGAATATCCAGGCATAGCAGTTTCTAACATTTGCCCAGGACCTGTGCAGTCACAGATTGTGAACAACGCCCTAGGTGAAGAAGTTACAAAGGTAAAAGTTTCCAACTGGGGACTCATTCAAATGATTTACTACTTATATGTTAATATTCTATCAATATATATCAGGGATTTTAAGTCAGAACTGTTTATGAATTACTCATAACACTTAACTCATGGCATTATGAAATTTGTTAAAGTTGGCTGGCCGTGCTTTGGCCCTGAGTTTTAATAAAGACTAATGCCGTGTCCACTATTGTGTAATGGTTTTTTCACTATTAAGAAACTCCTTTGATCTCTTTCCATTCCTCCTCATCTTCACGTTTATAGGATTTCATTTGCTAAATGCATGTCTCAATAGTAATTTGGTTTTTATCACTACAGTGATTAAAATGAGTGTTATATACTCATTAATGGTGCAATTGTAATTAAAAGCAAACTTCTTTTAGTGACCTATACTACCTTATCGGGTATTCCCATGATTCATGTTAGGCTTCCTGAACATTAGGAAAGTTTACAAGCATCCATCAGTATGTACAGGAACATCCACAGGGCATGAGGGCACACAACTAGATGGCTTTGGGGTCTTTTCTAACTTAGAAGTTTTGTAACCAGCTTGGATACTCAGCATTCACTTCATTTTCCATCTTTTCTTAGGCTGTGGGCAATGGTGGAGACCAGTCGTACAAGATGGCAACTAGTCGTTGTGTGCGGCTGATGTTAGTCACCATGGCCAATGATTTGAAAGAGGTCTGGATTGGAGATCAACCGTTTTTGTTGGTAGTGTATTTGTGGCAATATATGCCAACCTGGGCCTGGTGGATAACCAACAAGTTAGGAAAGAAAAGGATTGAAAACTTCAAGAGCGGTGTGGTAAGAGCAATTTATATATTTCTTAGTTTCAATTGTAAAGTATAAAATCTTAGTATCAGTTTTAAAGTATAAAATCTTATACTGCCTAAAACACTTCCTTCCTGATTCTCCGTCAGTCGCATGATATAAAAAGTATTCTACCCTCATATGTACCTGATAGGTTACTGTAACTTATCACTAGTCTCGGAGAACTTTTCATCTGAAAGGTTGCCATTTATTCTCTTCCACCTAGTCTTTGACCAGTACATGTGCCGCAACAGTGCTCTTTCCCCGTAGCTTCTCCTTCCAACCCCTGCCGTCCTACCAGTCTCAGTTCAGGTGTCACTGCTTTCCTCTCACTTCTGCCCAGGACTGGGTGCACCTCAGCCCTGTGTGTTCTTCCTCCCGGCGTTGAGTGTTCTGTTCAGTCAGGCACACGCACTTGGTGTGCTTCCAGTGCCCATTACCTCCTTTCCAAAGTACTCTGCACATCACAGAGGCCCCTGTGCTGAACTCTAAGGGGAAAGGATGATCACTTCTTCATCTAGCTTTCATTTTTATCGCAATTAGTGACCAAGATTGTCAACTGTTTCTGAGAAAATGATGACCAGAAAGTTTAACCTATACATAACATGGCAAATGTAATGCATTCATCCCCAAATTATAAAATCTGATTATGCAAAGAAAGGGTATTACTTTGAATGGTTTTTATTAGTAAAGTTGTTTCTTTCATATACTTTGTTACTACTGTCTTTCATAACTCAGCAAATGTGGCTCATATATGAAAAAGAGAGGCATGAAAAAGGACCGTACTATGTTGTCATTATGTCATCTACTGTTGTTTAAGCAATCCACTTTAATGTCTAATCCATTTGTTAGACATTTAATTTCTTCCAACTTTTTGCAACACAGTGAAAATGAATTATCAGGGTAAAAGCAAAAAACAACAAATCCTTAGAGATTAAAAGATTCTAAAAGCAGGTCTTGTCAAACACTTGAGCACACAGGACAAGGACTGATGATTCATGTTCCCGTCACTCTTACAGGATGCGGACTCCTCTTATTTTAAATTCCTGAAGAAAAAACATGACTGAATGGAACACTTGCAATTTCTCAGCTACTTGAGGGAGAAGTGAAAAACAACCACAGCAACCTGCTTATATTTTTCAATACAACTTTACTTTCAGCATGTAATGAATAATAAACATTGCCATGAATCTTATATTAATACATACTATGTTCTTGAATAAAAAAGGTTAAAAAATATTTAAGAGTATGTGCTTATAATCTAGGTTAACGTACCTAATCAAGGAATTACACTCTTCTTTGTAACATATGTCTTAGTCTGTTGTGTGTCTATACCAAAGTATCACAGACTGGATGATTTATAAACCACAGAACATTTTTTCTCACAGTTCTGGAACCTTTGAAGTCCAAGATCCAGGCCCCAGCAGAGTAGGTGTTTGCTGAGGGCTAATCTCTGTCTCTCAGGTGCACCTTGTTGCTGTGCTCTCCGGATGGAAGCAACACTGTTTCTACAGGGTGGAATGGGTTGTAGGGTGGGTTGACCAACCCTTTTATAAAGGCAGTGAATCTCTTTCATAACTCTGTTGCCTCCTAAAGCCGTGTTTTTCTTGTTTTTTTTTTTTTTTTTGGCTTCTTGAGGCAGGGTGTTGCTATGTATTTCAGGCTGGCTTTGAACTCACTTGATAACCCAGATTGGCCTTGACCTCAAGGTGATCCTCCTGTCTCAGCCTCCCAAGTCCTAGAATTACAGGCATGTGCCACCATACTCAGCCTAAGGTTATGCCTCTTACTGCTGCTGCATGAGGGTTAAATTTCAATTTTGTGGGAACAGAAACATTCACACACTAGCCACATAACTAGCATAGGTTGCTTGGGGGTGGGGTGAATAACTGCATGGAATTTCACACATCGCAGAGTGCTGGATAAGGAGCAATTTTAAAAGAAGGGTTGGGAATTGCCCTACCTCCAAACTACTCAGAAATGTGGACTGCTTTAAGTGCCTGAAATCTGAAGCAGTAAGTGGGACTCAGACTTATCATTCGTTACACACCTGCCGTATGGCCTTTGCTGTCCTGGCTGCTTAGTATTATTTAACTCCCTTAGTCCTCGTAGCAGCACCCAAGGTAGGTGGTGTTATCTACCTTTATAGATGAAGCAAGAGATGCCCAAGCGACTAAGTGCAACTTGCAAGGTCTCAGAGCTTGTAAGAGGAAGATTAAGGATTCAACTCAACTCAGGCAAACTGCACTGACAACTCCTCCCTGCCGTGATAAATCATTCTCTACTACTCAGTGTCTTGCAGCAGAAACGATGTCTAAGCCATAAGGGGAAGTCAACAGGAGTAATGGACACCAATTCACACAGCCCACAGCTTGGCTGCAGCCTAAGTAACGTACAGGAAGTAACTTAGAAGAGTTGTTGGACACAGAGGCGGTCACTCCAGTACTGTCCCTTGCAAAGGAGGAAGTCGTGATGAAGCTACACCGTGAGGTGCACCAGGTAAAAGCAGTGGAATAATATACACACATGGCCATATCCTAGAAGCATGAGCTACAAGATAATACTATTTACGTGTACTTCAGTATACGCGCCTAGAAGGTAGCCTCATTTAGCAAGAAAACATGAGTGAAGACACCCTTGAGAGGTATTGCGGTGGTATTCTAATGTTTGCTTGGGGAGGAAGAGAACGGGGGTACGCTATGCAGATGGGGTGTAATAAGATGGCACTTGCATAACCAGTGGTGGAAATGAAAGTTGAGATTTACTATAAAAACAAACAGAACATTGTACAAACAAAACAAAAAATTGTAACAGCAAAAACATTGGAATAATTTTCAAATGGTACAAAAAACTACGTTATGTGGCTTGTTACAAACAGAGAATAATGTGGAAGCCCTTTGTGGAGAAGGCATGATTGCAAGTGGGCTCAAATAAAAGAACTGAGACAGATGAAGAGGAGCTTTTGAAAGTCAGGGAACTGGTGAGTTTTGCTTTACTTGTCATTGCATCCCCCATGCTCGCCTGGCATTGCTCCTGCTGGTGTTACGGTTTCTTGAAAAGATGTAGGGGAGACATTCCTTGCTTCCAGAATATAATGAATTAATAACAAGAGACTGACTGGTACAGGGATGAGAGGAAAAAGCAGTGAGATCATTTTGCTCACCTACTCTTTCAGTGCAGGGTTTTTTTTTTTTTTTTTTTTTTTTTGTT